TAGGTCCTTCCACTCCTCCATAGTTAAACCTCATAACTTCAAGGTATTATCACCATCTCTGTTTCATAGGTGAGGGAACTGATGTATAAAGGGTTCCATGACCTGCCCAGGGTCACGTGGTTAACAAGTCTCTGGACTGAGATTCAGAAGCAGGTCTTTATGACTTTAGGTCTGGCCAGCACAGTGTTGCTTTTCTTTCTTTCTTTCTTTCTTTCTTTCTTTCTTTCTTTCTTTCTTTCTTTCTTTCTTTCTTTCTTTCTTTCTTTCTTTCTCTCTCTCTCTCTCTCTCTCTCTCTCTCTCTCTCTCTCTCTCTCTCTCTCTCCTCTCTCTTCCTTCCTTCCTTTCTTTCTTTTTTTGGTGAGGTAATCAGGGTTAAGTGACTTGCCTAGGGTCACACAGCTATTAAGTGTCATATGTCTGAGGCCGGATTTGAACTCAGGTTCTCCTGACTCCAGGGCCAGTGAGTGTTGCTTTTTCTTGAGGGCTGGAAATATTTCTTTCCTGTCTTTGTATCCTTAGCACCCAGCACAGTGCCTGGCATATAGTAGGTGCTCAATAAATGTTTGCTAGGTTATGGAATTTCAGTTGTCCCTAGGACAAGTTCCTTCCCTTATTTATTTGGCTTGGGGGTATGGTTACTCCATAGCTTGGGTTTGGTAAATTTATAATTGTCACTGATTTGATCTCTCAATCAAATCAACAAACATTGATTGAGTGCTGACTGTGTGCAGGCCTTATACTTCATCACATTCTGCCTTGGGACGTCTTTGGTATTTTTACAGTATAGAAGCCACTGGACCCCAATCCCCTCATCATTGCACAGCAGAGGAAAGCTTCTTGTGTCTGTGGTGTAGTGAACTTTCTGGAAAGAAAAGACTAGCGTCCAAATCCAGGTACTGCTACTTGGTCAACAAGCATTTATTAGGCTCTTACTATGTGCTGGGTATTGTGCTTACCAGTGGTGTGACTCTGGCCAAACACCCAACCACTCTGGGTCACAACTTCCTCTTCTGAAAAATGGACTAGACAGAGGCCTCCAGAGGCCCCTTCCAGCTCCTCAGTCCTTGACAGAGACTGTGTGTTAGAGGTGGAACAGGCTTTAGAGATCATCTGCCCTAATCCTCTCCTTCTGCAGATAAGGAAACTGAGTTGTAAGTAGGAATTATTTCACCTAGGGCAAAAATAGCTGGGAGGAGCTCTCCAGGGGTTGCAGGACCAGAGAAATCAGCTCGATTTGGGTCAGCAACTGGTCTAGCAGGGAGAAGAGAATCTTCTGGATTTGGGGAGTAGTGGAAAGGAAGGCTTGGGCAGTGGAGTTTGGGAGAATAGACCCTGGGGGAAGGGGGAATTATGACACATGATATCCTGGGGCAAAGTCCCATTGTCCCTGGACTAGTTATGAACTGTCAGGAAACTAATGCTGGGACACAGAGTTTATAGCAGCATAACGAAGGCTAGAAGTCATGGTTTTCCTCCCTGATGCCATCTCCCTTAGTGCCTATCATAGTGTAAGGTACAAAGTAAGATTCTTGATAAAGTGCTGTTGAAGGAATGAATGAATATAGTCGAGAAGAGAATTGGGGTTGGGGGAAATAGTACTGGCCTTAGAAGTTAATAAGCCTGAGGCTTCCTGAATTCTTGTAGTCATTTGACATAGTGTCCAGAAAGTTAGCCTCTGGTACTGGAAAGGAGGTCCTGGTCTAAAGCAAGAAATCTTACTATTGTGCTTTGATTCCTATCCCTGTCTTTCCACAATCCACAAAGTAGGAATGGAGCTGGAAATGGGAAGCACAACATTCCCTCATCCCCTTTAGGCATCGATAAGAGCTCATAGTTTTCCCAGGATTAATCAATCAATCAAAAAGTATTTATGAAGTGCCTGTTGTGTGACAGGCACTGTCCAAGGTGCTGGAAAGGGAAAGAAAAATAATCCTTGCCTTCAAGAAGCTTACTTTCTCTTGGAAGGAAATTCCATGAATCTGGATAAGTATGTGGAAAATATATCCAAAGTAAACACAACTTCTAGGGTTGGGGGGGCTGGGCAATAGCAACTTGGTGGGTGGAGAGACACCAGAAGAGGCTTCATGTAGGAGGCGGCAATTGGTCTGAACCTGGTACTTCTTAGGAACCAGTGCCATTGACTTCCAGGGGCTGAGGTGACAATTCCACTGCAAAATGTGGCTGGAGAAGGTGTGTGGTGAGTGTGAACTCACCCCAGACTGGCTTCCCTGAGTAAATTGACCCAACTGGCTTAAATGGTAGCCAAGGCAAGGAAACCAATTCTGTTCTAGTCGTGCCCAAAGTATGCACGCCCCTTCTGACTCTAAAACTACTAACCAGGTTGGACTTTTTCAGGTCTCTGACAAAGGCATCCTGGAGTAGTGGAAAGAACTCTGGATTGTGGAGTCCAAGGATTGGGGTCTGAATACCAGCTCTGAGACTCACTATCTTTGTGATGTCACTCTCTGTGCCTCAGTTTTCTCCTCTGTAAAATGAGAGGACTTGACTAGATGGGTTCCCAGGTGCCTTCGAACTCTAAATTCTGATTCTGAGGAATTAGGATAAGAGGACTCCTACTCTTGTTCCCCCCCCCAGCTCTTTGCCTCAGACTACCCAGAGAAACTTCATCATTCCAGAACCCCCTTTGCCCTAGAGAGAGCCTTGGAAGTGCAGATAGAAAGAATTCCTCTTAAATTCCCTGAGGCAAATTTACTGCCTTCTAAGGGAAATTTATCAAATGATGGGATTGGATTACATGAGCCTGTGGTCCCTTCTGGCTTTCAGTGCTTGGCTCTCCTTTCCTCCCTCCTTCCTGCCTCATCACCCCTTAAAATGGAAGATCCTGGCAATTGCTCGGTTATGCTTCCTATGGGAACACAGCTGCTCAGTCTGTTCTGGCCCAGGCTTCCTTCAAGATCCAGATGCACGTTACTCTCTTTAATAAAGGCACTGGATGGGAAGGATGGAGGTCTGGAAGGGACCTGGGAAATCATCCAGTCCAACAGTCTCCTTTTACAGAGTTTGTGCCAAGGCTTAGAGAGCCTATCCAAAGTCACATAGCCAGTATGAAGGCTCAGAAGGGTTAAGTGATTTGCCAAAGTCACAGTCAAGATCTAGGATGTGAACTCAAGGCCTTGAAATCCAAATCTAGGACTTCAACCCCCCCCCCCCCCAGCCAGAAAGCACTGCTTTCCATTCAGAGCAGCAGCCACCCTCCAAGAAGTTGGTGCCCCAGTGTAGGCCTCAGCCTCCAGGCCTGGGCTGTCCTATTCTTGTAAAATTCTGAGAAAAGGGCGTTTATTTCCTCCCTGCTCCATCCTCTTCCTTCCAGGACTGAGGGTCAGGTGTCAGTGATTTCACTGACTGCCAAGTATAACAAAAACAGACTTTTCCAGGGTGGGGGCCCACTTACCCAGTGCCCCCCAAACTGAGTAAAGCTAGAAGGGACCTCTTGGGATCTGTACCAAGTTTGCTTGGGTCCTCTCGAAGCCTCCATTGTCCCCATCAGCCCTTGGGGTGGGGGTGGAGAAGGTCCCCTCCCCTCTCCCTCACTCTCTTCTGCTAACACCAGGGGCTGAATTCACAATTCAGTACTGGGTACTGAATGAGTCCTCCAGCCCAGTCCTGCCTCCGTCTCTGCCTTTTCTAACAGGGGGTGCGGTGGGGGGACAATCTCTGTGGAAGATGGAAAAGGGGAAAAGAAGAGCAGCTCTCCCCCCCTTTGGAAGCAAAGGCGTAACAGGTGAACGGGGGTGGGGTGGAGAGGAAGGAGGAGGGGCCAGCAGGGACCGGAGGCTGACAAACCCACAGACATTTTCCCGGGAAAGGGAGGCCCCAGAGGAGAGAGAGAGGGGACATCCAAGGGTTTTTGAAAGGGCAAATACGCCCAGGTTTCTGGCTGCCTGCCGCGGAGAGCTGACCCGCTCCGCTAGCTACACGAGTGATAAATGATCTGAATAGCCGAGGGTCCTCTTCGCTCTCCCCGGTTCTCCTCCCTTCCCCCTGCAGCTCCCTCTGCTTTTCTCTCCCCCTCCCCCTCCACTGAGTCCCTAGGTCTGGGAGGGACAATGCTCAGCTTGCCCAGGGCAGCCGGGCCGGGTGTATTCAGCAACTGGTGTCTCCCTGGATAGCAGCACCGCCCTGCCAGGGGGAAAAATTGCCAGTCTGGTCCGTGCCCGATATCCTGGGACTAGAGGCTGGGGCCCAGGTGCGGAGAGAGGCTCCGCAGCCGGGGGCCGGGGGCGTGGGGAAGGGTCCTGGATAAGCGAGAAGCTGGAGCCATCCCTTGGGGATGCCTCCTGAAGTTCTGGCCCCCAAGTCTGCGCCCAAGGGGCAAGAAGGGGAAGAAATAGGGAAGGGGACTTGCTGGCTCACCCCCAGTTACTAAGAGGGGAGGGAGGGGAACAAAGGGAGGGGGAGTTTGAGAGGTACGTGTGTTGGGGAGACAGGGAGAGTATCTGGTTGTGTGTGGTGAGGAGCAAAGGGGGAGTGTGTATGTGGGGGGTTAAAGGAAGAATGTGTGTGTGTGTGTGTGTGTGTGTGTGTGTGTGTGTAAAGGAGGAATACGTGTGTTTGTGTGAAGAGAAAGGGAGAATGTGTTGTACATGGGGAGGAGCCGGGCAAAAGGCTCTCCCTTTGTTGTGCGTTGAATGTTGTGTGCATGTTGTAAGGGACCGGGGGGAGTGTCTGTTCTGTGTGTTGTGGATAGCAAGAGGACAGCGTTCACTGAGGGGTGGGAGAGTGGGGAGCAGAGGAGAGTGTGTTGGGTGAGTTATGGGGGGAAAGAGGAGAGCATTTGAGGTGTCTTGGGAGCGAGCGAAGAGTGTGTGTTGTCTGGTAGGGAAGTGGGTTTGTTGTATGTGAGTGCGGGAGGACGGAGGACAGTGGTGTGTGTGTGTGTGTGTGTGTGTGTGTGTGTGTGTGTGTGTGTGTGTGTGTGTTGGCGGGGGCGGGGGATGGGAGAAAGCGGAGAAGAAAAGTCGAATACTTGAGAACTTACTGCAGTCGTCCGACTCGTAGCCCTCCCCGTCTATGTCTTCCTCCGGCTTGCCTCCGCCGCTACCGCCGCTGCCACCGGGCTGGGGCTGGGGTTGGGGTTGGGGCGGGGGCTGCCGCTGGCGGGTGGGGCTGGGGCCGTAGGCACCGAACAGCTGGTCCACATCCTCTTCGTCGTCCCTGGGGGGGTCGGAGGGGCTGACCGAGGCTTGGCTGCCCCCGGCCTGCAAGGAGTCCGTCCGGCTGACTGCCGTCGGGATCCCCCGGGGGAAGCGGGGGAAGTAGTCGGAGATTTGTTTGATGGGCTTGATGGGACCTGGGCACACGTCAATGGCCATATGCTCCTGAATGCTGATGGTGGTCTTCTCTCCCCGCCGGAGTGTCATGCAGGCAGCTCTGGCCCCCCCGAGCCCCTCGGAGAACGAGCCGGGCCAGGGCACGAAGCTTCCGAAAGGGCGCGGGCAGTGGGGTGCACTGAGCCGGGGAAGCTGGGCGCGCTTCACCGAGAGCCGGGCGTCGCGTTGGTGCCCTCCTCCAAAGCCCCTGCTGCAGCTGTTCCTGCCGCCGGCGCTGCTGCTGCTGCCTCCGCCTCCGTGGCCACGGTGCGCATCGCGTCCTCTGCTGCTACTGATACTGCTGCTGCTGCTGCTGCTGCTGCTGCTGCCGCCGCCTCTGCCGCCGTCGCCGTGCCCCTTCCCGCCGCCGCCGCCGCCGCCGCTGCGTTCCGCGCCCCCAGACGGTCCGGAGCCTGCTAGGAGCGAGCAGTGAGCGCGCCGCACTGGGCTCAGCCCGCGGAGAAGTGCGAGGCCGACGGGGACTGACAGGCAGGGGGTGGGCCCTGCAGGCGTCACTGGGTAGCAACCAAGCAGGATGGAGGGAGCGAAGGAATGAGGGTTCAGAAGATGCACCCTCGCACTCACACATTCACAGCCCAGGCGCTGGGAGCCAGGTACACAGGCACCCAAGGAGCTGACCTGCACGCCCTGTCACAGCCACCCGCACACAGGCCCATACTTCAACGCTGGCGTTCTCCCGGCGCAGATATACTGCCCCCCAACACACAATCCAGAAACTCATTCACTTGATGGTAGCTGGAAGGGTCTGAGGGACTTGCACTGAGGGTCACAGCCATCAGGTCCTCACCGAAGGTAAAGGAGATTAGTTTTTCCGCTGCTAGGAAAGATGAATAGAGATGGCCTGAGTGGAGACACTCAGGAGACACCTGAGGCCGACTAATGGAGTGGAAGAGTCAGAGCACCCAGTTTCGAATCCTGACTCGACTACCTATGTGACCTTGGGAGAGAGAGCTCTTTGCTCTGGGCCTCAGTTTACTTATCCATCCAATGAGAGGCAGGGCTGAGATGGTTTCTCAAATCTCTGTTCAGCTCTAAGGTAGAATAATAACAGCTGGCATTTGTAGGTCCCTTTAAGGTTTGCAAAGCGCTGTCCTTACAGCAACCATCTGGTTTTACAAGAGAGGAGACAGGTTTAGAGAGATGCTTTGCCCAGGGTCAGGAAGTGGATTCAGACTCTTCTGAGACCCACAGGCTTTTCTCCTTTCAAATACCACAGGCGGCCAAAAGTACCCATAAGCAGAGAGCCAACCCCTACTGTCTAGTCTCCTGTGGGTAGGTGCCCAGCCCTCCCCCACAGCTGCACCTAGTGTGGGCTAGGACAAGGGCCGATGGGAATCCTTTCCCCAGGGTGTGTTGGCATGGCTGGCCTCTGGGCTAGGCATATCCATTCTCTTACTGCAGAGTTGTAATGGTGGGTCCTCCCTCCTAACAGAGAAGTACAATATGGCAAAGTAAGTCAAAGCAATGGCCCTATCTGACAAAGTATGCATCATTGTGTTCTTAACAACTCCCTGCCTCTCTGCTGAGAGAGTGTCAGAGCTCTAGAGTCAAAACTGGTCCTTCCCTCCCTCCCTCCCACCTTCCCTTCCTTCCTTCCTTCTTTCCTTCCTTCCTTCCTTCCTTCCTTCCTTCCTTCCTTCCTTCCTTCCTTCCTTCCTTCCTTCCTTCCTTCCTTCCTTCCTTCCTTCCTTCTTTCCTTCCTTCCTTCCTTCCTTCCTTCCTTCCTTCCTTCCTTCCTTCCTTCCTTCCTTCCTTCCTTCCTTCCTTCCTTCCTTCCTTCCTTCCTTCCTTCCTCTCTTTCTATATCTCTCTTTTTTTCTTTTCTTTCCTAACAGCCTGACACCAACATTTTTTATTGTGTTAGAAGGTGATTATGAGGGTGGGGCTTGGCCTCTTACTGCACAGCTTGCTCAATGGTGTCACTTCTACAGGCTTCATGACATCTGGCAGCTCTGGGGGAATGGAGAAACATGCAATGTTTCAAATGCATTGTTGGCTCAGCTCCATAGTTGTTGGGAGTCTGGGGTCTGGCTATCAGACTTGTGAAGTCACATTTGTTCAGAGTCTTAGAGCTGGTCATCAGTTTGTCATCCTTACATAGCCTCTACACATCAGATTTGTGAAGGTGATTGTCCCCTGGCACCAGATTATGAGGAGCACATCTCATCTCTCCATTCTCCCCCCTCCCCTCCAATCTAAAGCACAATAGAGCTTTCAAGGTGAGATATACAACCTGAAATCTCTGCTTAAGCTCAGCGAGTGTTTGTTGTAGAATGTCTGCTGTGGGCTCAGGCTTGCTCTAAGAAGCTGTGAGGATACTGGAAAAGAATTCTATAGTCAGTCCCTTTCCTGAAAGACCCCAGTACTTTTCAAAAGCTAATAGTTGGGTCATCATCTGCTCTCAGAGGTTGGAAGAAGCAATGATCCTTTCCATTTACCTGTTAAACAATTAGATTACTGTCCCCCCCTGCAGGTGGGTAGTGCATGTACCATGGCTCCTATTTTATGGTTGCAGAGACAGTCCTAGAGAGGTGCAGAGTCAATCATCTGTCAATCAACAAGCATTTATTAAGCACTTGCTGAATGCCAAGTATTGTGCAAATCATTAGGGATTCAAAGAAAAAGCAAAACCAATTCCTGCCCTAATAGAGCTGACATTCTAGTGGGAGGGGGGCAAGGTGTGTATGTATGTGTCTATCTGTTCACATACATATACATGCATACATATATTATCCACACATATGTGTACATCTACTTTGTATGAGTCACATGCATCCATAGATACATAGACACATATATGTGATTCATACAAAATAAATACAAGGTAACCTTAAGGGGGAGGGTACTGGGATGGGGGAGCAGGGGAACTGAACAGGGTTGGGAAGGGAGCAGGCCTCCTTCAGAAACTGCTTCTTGAGCTAAATCTTAAAGAAGTCAGAGATTCTGAGACCCAGGTGAGAAGGGAGAGCATTTCAAGCACATCAGACAGCCAGTGCAATGGCAAATGGGAGATGGGATGTAATGTATGAGGGGCATAGACCAGTATGGTTGGAGCATCGAGTGCATGGAAGGGAATAATGTGTGAGAAGACTTGGAAAGGGCCAGATCATAAAGAGCTTTGAATGACAAACAGAGGTGATGTATTTGGTTCTACAGATAATGGGGAGCCAATGAAGTTTATTGAATAGGGAGGGTGATGTGGTCACACCTGTGCGTTAGGGAAATCTCTGAATGGAGGATGAATTGAAGGAAGGCAGGGAGAGCTGTTAGCAAGCTGTCGCAATAGTCAATAGGCAAGAAGTGAAGAGATCAGGACCATTAAGACGCTAAGAAGATTGTCTATGGAGGAAGAGAGAAGTGCATGTGCAGGAGAGATGTTGTGGACATAGAAATGACTAGATTTGCCGACTGATTGGATCTGGAGCAAGAGAGTGAGGAGTTAAGGCTCTGAGGGACTGGCAGGATGTTTTGCGCCCTTGACAGGAATAGGGAAGCTAAGAACAAGGGTAGATTTTTTTTTTTGTCGGGGAATAATGAGTTCTGTTCTGGATATAAATTTGAGATCCCTATACATGGAATATCCAGTTTGAGATGTCCAGCAGGCAGCTGGTGATTCATCAATCAATCAGTATTTATTAAGCATCTACTTTTTGCCTGTCATTGTGCTGGGGGTACTAGCACAGTGAACAGGAGTGGGGGGTCTTATGCACTGTGGGACTGGAGCTCAGGAGGGAGAAACTAGAGCTGGAAATGGCTGTCTATATCTACATACATACATACATACATACATGTATACATAATATGTAGCACATTTTTGTTGTTCAACTGTTTTAGTCATGTCTTCATGACCCCATTTGGGGTTTTCTTGGCAAAGATATTGGAGTGATTTGCCATTTCCTTCTGCAGCTCATTTTACAGATGAGGAAACTGAGGCAAACAGGGTTAAGCAACTTGCTAGGATCGAACAGCTAGTAAGTATCTGAGGCTGAATTTGAACTCAGGTCTTCCATTGTGCCATCTAGCTGCCTGTAACATAAACAATAATATGTAATATACACATATATAACATGCATGTAACAATCTAGCCATGTTATATATAGATACACATACATATATGCACATATACAACACACACATAACCACATGTGTATATGTATATATATACACACATATGCACATATATACATGCACACACACATGTGTAACCTGGGGATCTCTAGCTAATGTCAGAAGCAGGATTAGAGCTCAAGTCTCCTGGATTTTCCTCCTATATGCTTCTGCTCTGACATGATGCCTCTTCTAAATCTCTTTGTCTTTCAGAGGACGGAAGGGTCACTGTTGACCAGAGTCACCATGTGGAGTCATTTTGTAATATCTGGTATTATCTGTCCACTGACTTCCCCAAAACAAGCAATCCCCACATTATCACTCCTTACCCTTACCTCTGCATACTGCTTAAAAACAGCTTCTATTGATTGTTATCATTTAAAATCACCTTCATCTCCAAACAGACCCATCTCTGTCCTCTACAAAAAAGAAATGAAATGAAAGCAGTTTAGCACAACTAAGTAATGTCCCTTAGATCCAACGTTGTTCCAAAAACCATAGCCATAGCCAGTCTGCAAAGGATAGAGGTGGGGTCTGCATTGCACTTAACTTTACAGTCATGATAACTGAGATTTGTGTAGTGCTTTAAGGTTTCCAAGTGCTTCTCATTGGAGCACTCTGCTACTATCCCCCACCCCATTTTACAGAAGGGGAAACTGAGGCACAAAGATACAGTGATTGACTCAGGGTCACAATTAGTAAATGTCAGAGGGAAGACCTAAACTGGGGTCTTTCCAACTCCAAGGCTCGTGTTGTTCTTTCCTCTTTTTTGTGGGGATTAGCAGGTTACCAATCTTCTTTGGGGAGTAGCACCTCAGGGCCTGGGGCTGAAGGCCTGTGATGAGTTGGAGGATGGGCAGAATAGGGAGGCTTGCCTTCTTCACACAAAGGGGACATTGTGACTTCCATGTTCCCAAACCCTAGAGAGTTAAGGAGAAAAGAGAATGGGGGAGTTGGGAAAGGGGGGAGATACTGAGCTCCTTCTAAGGACAATCTGAGGTTTGGG